AAATTATTATAATAAATCGTAACAATTCCCGGCCAATACGGATATAAAATTTATAAGGTTCAATTGGAGCAGCGATGCGTTCCCGATTGGGATACGGACAAGAATGATCCCGATTCCTGATCCCAGTCATCCTACAATTTTTGATCGACGTCACTGGGTGACGTCAGAGTCAGGATACTACAATACTGCACCGATATTCATACATTGTAGCGTCGAATCTCGCTGCGTTGCAGAGATTGACTGCATTTATATTTGGCCTTACAATTAGTATAAAAAACAGCGAATTCCAGGAATACAGAACACGTACTTGAGTGCCGAGGGCGTTTGAAAGATTTCACATCAAATTGCGAAGTTTAGAATTTTAAAACGTTTATTAATGACTTTTCTCGGTATCTCAAGTTTTTATTGGTTAACGGTATACCTTCCGTGATCCTCATTTGAATTCACAGAAATTCATTTTGCAAACGAGACATTGTTTGTATTACACCGCGAATCGATTCGATGCACCAGCCCTCGTTCATCAAATAATCATGTTAAGCGTTTCATAACGCCTGCAGTTATGGCTGACTACACCTATGATAATCCACTTAATTTAGAACACGAGAATTCCGATTATAGTATTTAGTTGTCAGTTTTATAGTTACTGTATTATTTAAATAGTATTTAACAACAGTCAGTTCGTAAAATAATTCGAATTAGTTGTATATAATACGTCGATATTAATTCTTAGTTGCGCACGGTTTTATTCTCTGTTTCTTAGGAACTCTTGAAGTTACGTGTTTACTTTTATTCTTACAAACTTTTAGAAACGAGCATGAAAAGAAACAGACGGTTACCTCTCTTCGTAACAATTATCGGAACCCAAAACCGATCCCTCTCGTTGCTTGGTAAATGCGTGCATCGTATCATGCCAACTTGGGTCTGGCCACATGTTCCAAACAAAAGAATTTCAGCCATAAGTCCGAGAAGCGAGATACGTTCATCTTACAATTAGCCAGAAGACCCAACTGCAAGATACGTTCATCTCAACGTAAATTCAGTAGGATTCTCCTTACTGCTTTATTTTGATACGGATTCTAGTTGGCTTCTCTCGAGAGATTATCATAGCGCTATATATGTTTATTATACATTCTATCCGATGGTTCATACGCGTACATAGCACATGCAGACAGGGTCAGTGTAGGATCAAAACTGTTTATCGAATAATTGACAAATATTATTGGTCGTGCGCGTTCCATTTCAAACGAGTGAATGATGTCCACAGTAGAGATTAACATTAAGATATATATTTTAAAATTCGATTCCTGACATGACAGACAAGATTCCTAATACAGAAAGCCGTTGGAATGTCGAAAAAAATTATTGAATGAAATTGACCAATCCAGACTTTCGGAATTCGTGAAATCTCGTAGCAAAACCTTCGTGTAACAAGGAAATTCTGGTTCTTCGGGTAAAGATTCCGAGAAGTCCATGGCCGATGGCCACGCATGGGGAATACCACCTACATATATGCAGAGGGAGCGGGAAAGAGACCGGCTCGAGTGAAACGTGTTGGGAGGCAAGATACTTATGTACACACATCTCGGCTTGTGTGTGACTATCAAAGAGTCGTGAGTGGGGGTAATTGTTATAAATGCTTGTACCGCAGCTGCTGTGTGTGTAAACGAAGAAATCGCGGCGTCGAACGGTCAGCGCGTTGCAATCGTACGACGTTTCTTGAACAGGAAATTCAACGGTTGATTTGATTACCCAAGATCGGCTTACAGTAAGTGATTTCATCGTTTCTGATATACGAATACAAATAAGTAGTTGAATGAACGTGTCATATCACAATTAATTAGTGCTTACTATGTGTGTTATTTTTCGGCATTCTCATTATATAAGTACGTGCCCTGTGTTAGTATTATAAGAAGAAACGGTACCAGTCTTCTACTTTGTAGAGCAATCGAAATGTTTTAGAAAAATATATTTGTGTAATCAGTTTTTTTATATAGCAAGTAGATTTTGCATGGATGGAAAAGATTTATTTCTACACAGTCAAGATTAATTAATTGTTGGTATATAAAGAGGACAGAACTTATTTTTGCCAAGAAGATATTTTCTTTGATTATAAATGTATAGATCAATTCTAGATAGGATTTATGAGTACTCCGAACTCTTCAAATTATTTCCTTTCTATCAGTAAATTGATTAAGAATAACAGTGAATAGAAAATACATTAAACTTGGGAATGAAGGTTTTCATTCGGTAATTCATATTAATTCGATGCATCAATCTCGTGCAGAAAGGTCTTCCAAAGAGGTCAGTGTCAAACACTTTCAGATACGATCGATGTGCGTGATAGTTACGTAAATTTACGATTCGTCGAATTTCGACATGATTACTCTATCATCCTCCGTTTTACCTATTTTTTTATGCAAATTTTCCTCTAACAACTGAGATGTACACACGTCAGAAACAGAAAAATTCTCTTATCTACATTAACGATTGAACGTTAAACGATCTGCAATCGTCTTCAAATATTTGTAATACGGTTGAAGTCTAAATTCGGTTTACGTCTCGAATGTACAATTGTTTTCAACTGGAATCGTGAAATAGGTTTCTCGAGTATTAGAGATACATTCAGGAATTCATTTATGGCTCCATCAATTGTTCCGCGAAGATAAGTAACAATTAGATTTATTCATCACGATCCTTACATTAATTACACTAATCTTTCATGCAGATAGATTTTCCTGTTTACGTTTATGTTTAATGTCTATCATTAATATGCGGGCACCTTGAAAGCCGGAATTCACATCGATCGTAGCGGTTACGTCAAACATTTCAGCCTTTCCGACAAGATACATTGTAAAGAGAAGTTAAAATTTTTTAAGTACGGACAAATAGCGGCAATCTCATCAAAGGAATGCCGGCTGATTATGTATGTACGTCGATTTCATTGACAATTTTGCATTTGTCGTTTTAATCTAAAAGTTTTTACGATCATTGTATAACATCTCTTAATGTAATTCTAACGTGATACATCGTTAACAGTCATGAACATCAATCGGTACTAATTGAGAATGTAATAGCCGCAGGTGAATTTAGACGGAGCAGAGTCTTGTTTTCTCGCATTGTCAGTTTCATCCACGAGACTCGACGTGAAGTCATGCTTATTTATATGCAAAACGAGAACGAGATAATCTCTCACGATACCTCGCGTGAGTTCACCTTGACTAGCAACATCAAATTCTCGATTTGATTATGTTTTGCGTATTCAGCTGAATATACTTAGGTACGCGAAGGTCCGGAGATTACTTGCCTGACAAGTTTCTCTGCGTAAAGAAACATGTGGAAAAAATTTCATCGCACTTCATGGCAGAGATAAATTTTCGTCCTATGACCGAACGAAAAGAGCGAAGCGTGCTTCGAACAATGACCTGCTTGGTCGCAAGGAGTTTTAGAGTCAGGCTATTCACTCCGTTTAAAAGAGACCCTAACACGTGGACCTCTTGAAAATTGTTAAGGACCCACTCCAAACTAGAGAACTATATAACACCGTTTTCAGGACCTTGAACACAGAAATGCGAAGAATACTTTTGATACTGGTAATGGTCAGCCTCTCGAGGGCTGTGCCAGCTCCTCAGCAGGATACTGGAAATTTGAATTCGTTGATATCGAGCGTATTCGGTACATCCACCACACCAACCCCTCCCGAGAGTCGAAATTCGAGCGGCGATCTGGCTTCCCTTATTAGCGAGTCGTTCGGGCAACCGTCGACCACGCCGGATACGATTTTAGGCACGCAGAATAAACAACGACCGAAACCGCAGGGTTGCGAATGCGTGCCGTACTATCAGTGTCGAGAGGGCACCATTTTGGATAACGGCATTGGATTGATCGATATCAGGTCCGATTTCGGTGATGACAATAACAGTACGAGTATGAGTACGAGCGCGGGTACAATTACGAATCCGCGTACAGAAGGGTGAGTCCCAAAGACTGGTCTCATAAATGGCAACGATTAGACCACCTGTTCTGGCATTTTATCGCAAAGATATTTAATTCTTCATACGTGTATATATGTACATTTTGTGGTGTGTCAGCTCGTCCTTGAATTGCTCTTTCTCTCGAGACAAGTCCAGAGCAATGTTCGTTCTTGCATGCGCACGACACTTGTCCTCGTCATCTCACAAACACAGACACGATGGTTTCAATATTTTATCTCTTTTCACGGTATGTAGGTGTATACGTGCGTTTGTTGAACAATTGCGTCTGCACGCCGCATGAGACTATCTTTGGACTCACTAACAATTGTAGTTCGGAACACGTTTTGCAAAAGAGAATCAATCAAATTTTATGTAGAATACATTACACTACTTTGAACTTTCCTGGAAAACGTGCTCCGTTTGTCCTTTTTTCCTCTTCTTGAGATTACAACCTTTTTTCTTGTACGTATTTAATGTTGGTACATAATACTCGAACTCATCATTATCTTAATTATTATTAATTATACAGAGGGCTTGGTGATTGCGAGAATTACTTGGACGTTTGCTGCAAGGCACCTGACAGGATTGATGAAGAGGACAGAATATCGAGACCGAAGCCAATTCCAAGGAAAGGCTGTGGGGTACGGAATCCGAACGGTGTCGGTTTCAGGATCACCGGCAACACTAATAATGAGGCTCAATTCGGAGAATTCCCCTGGATGGTAGCTATATTGAAGGAAGAAATTATCGGCGAAAATAAACAAAAGCTGAACGTCTACCAATGCGGAGGATCCTTGATTCACAAGCAAGCTGTTTTAACCGCAGCTCACTGCGTACAAGGGTAAATAACTATGAAATTCTTGCCATTAAATTTCAATCCCTTTTCGTACGAAATATATAAATAAATCACTTTCAATAGAAAACAACCATCTGAACTGAGAATTCGTGCCGGAGAATGGGACACGCAGACAAAGAACGAGATTTTCCCTCACCAGGATCGCAATGTGCAAAACGTAATCGTTCACGATAAATATTATGCAGGAGCTCTCTATAATGATTTCGCTCTTCTAATTCTATCCGAGCCGCTGGACCTTATGGAGAACGTAGATATTATTTGCCTACCAGAACCAAACGAAGTCTTTGACAATACCCGATGCTTTGCAAGTGGTTGGGGAAAAGACATATTCGGTAAGGATATCAATTATTATCGAGTCCGCCATTCTAATTTAGTGATCTTATTTCAAAGTAAAAACATGTAATCCCAATACACCTGGTTCGTCTAATTCTTTCCAGGTAAAGAGGGTCATTACCAAGTAATTTTGAAGAAAGTAGAACTGCCGGTGGTACCACGTGATTCATGTCAGAACAGCCTCCGAAGCACGCGATTAGGAAAATATTTTAATCTTCACGAAAGCTTTATATGCGCCGGCGGAGAGCCTGGCAAAGATACGTGCAAGGTAATTTAGCTCTGCTCGAGATCGTACTTGAAATACTCTAAATATGTACTTCTGTGAATAATAAATGTGTCTTTCATTAGGGAGACGGAGGGAGCCCGCTCGTGTGCCCAAGCAAAAACAACCCTAACAAGTACATACAAGCAGGTATCGTGGCATGGGGAATCGGTTGCGGTGAAAATGGAACCCCGGGTGTTTACGCTAACGTCGCTTTGGCGCGAGATTGGGTCGACGAACAAATGGCTTTTTACAGTTTGGACAATACCGTCTATTCAAGCCGAAAAACAGACTGAGCTTTGTTACAAAGCCTTATCATCGTTTTACTTAAATTTCTACGCAGAGATTAATAATCGTCTAAAGACTGCTGTATTGTTCGTACGTAATTTTCAAAACAATAATGTACGCGTGAATGCGCAATCTTGTTTTTAATAAAAACAATTGTACTGGCAGGTACTTATTTCTATACTTCTACGTTGCTTTGTCATTCTCCTCTAATAAATTAAAATATATTTAGAAAATATTTGGGGTCGCGATGTATATGGCGAAACTCGAGTTTGACCGAGTGCGCACCATCTGTTGAAAAATTTTTTTAGAAAGTTCGAGATGTAAGCGTGGAAAGTAATCTTTACGGGGAATAACTCGTGGTCATAAAATGCCTGTGCCTGGGCGCCTGTGCGCGCGAGGGTATTGTACGTGCTTAGTAAATGGTTTATGACACCAGGCATTTGAGTGATTCTTTCCAGACACACCAAGTGTATACCGCATTGTGTCCTCTCTCGAACGAAGACTACCTTTCCTTTATTTAAAGAAAATCCTGCACATCTGTTTAGAATGCGTAAAAAGTGCCTATCCCGGAAACGACGTACTATAAAAATCAATCCTTCGTTTTACCTGTAATCCTCTGGGCGTACTAAACCACGGCCGTCTTTAATGGAAAGCCGGAACGTATCCCTCTACCTAGGCCAATTCGGCCTGACAAATATTTTTCGTCTTAGCTTCTTTTCTTACAAACGTATTATATGTGAAGATATTGTATTGTCTATACTTATCTATGATACATATGTAAGAAAAGGAGATCGCAAAGTATAGAGTATTACATATAAACAGGGCCATGTCTCTTGCTGTAGTTTTCCATCACCACTTAAGATTGTCAGTTCGAAACGCTCGCTTCTTCACCACGTATGCTCCGGCGTTCTAGTAAAGACGGCCATGGCTAAACACGTTCGTAAGGTAATATCTCTTTTTTTGACATTGCGAATACAATTTGACTACTTTTATTTAAATAAAACACTATACATCTGTTTCGAAAGTTGCATAAATGTTCACGAGTTCGCAAAATGCGTGTAATATTCATTTCTGAATGTCAAAAATTACGAGCACAGTAAGAAATACGGTCCAATAATACAAATTTGCAATATATACTACATGATTCTTGTTAAAATCCTTTTAACCAGAAAGATTTTGCTACGTCTCTGATCTTTATAATTTATCGTTTAGTAATTGATAAAAAATTACGGTAGAGCATTCTTGCTTTCCGATTCGCCTTTGGCAAGAGGAATTTCATAAAAATTACATAGTGGATATTGCAAAATACCGAAAAAGTTTTCTTTGTTGGACTGCGTAATTAAAATATCTTTTACATCTGCAACAATGTAGTTTCGTGTGAAATTGAAATGGAGCCTTCTAACTGTATATATTGCTTATCAATTCTATTCAATTTGAATATACAGTACATCATTTCTTTTATCTTGTATTTATTTCATGTTATCGCGTTTTCTGATGTTCACTATTTATAAACACATTGCACCCTTGAATGTCACCGCTGCAAAAGGGTTCTCAATGCACGAGAAAAATAAGTGAGAGAAGGGATAGAAACTATCTGAAATTCTTGAAGATATTGTATTGTCTATACTTATCTATGATACATATGTAAGAAAAGGAGATCGCAAAGTATAGAGTATTACATATAAACAGGGCCATGTCTCTTGCTGTAGTTTTCCATCACCACTTAAGATTGTCAGTTCGAAACGCTCGCTTCTTCACCACGTATGCTCCGGCGTTCTAGTAAAGACGGCCATGGCTAAACACGTTCGTAAGGTAATATCTCTTTTTTTGACATTGCGAATACAATTTGACTACTTTTATTTAAATAAAACACTATACATCTGTTTCGAAAGTTGCATAAATGTTCACGAGTTCGCAAAATGCGTGTAATATTCATTTCTGAATGTCAAAAATTACGAGCACAGTAAGAAATACGGTCCAATAATACAAATTTGCAATATATACTACATGATTCTTGTTAAAATCCTTTTAACCAGAAAGATTTTGCTACGTCTCTGATCTTTATAATTTATCGTTTAGTAATTGATAAAAAATTACGGTAGAGCATTCTTGCTTTCCGATTCGCCTTTGGCAAGAGGAATTTCATAAAAATTACATAGTGGATATTGCAAAATACCGAAAAAGTTTTCTTTGTTGGACTGCGTAATTAAAATATCTTTTACATCTGCAACAATGTAGTTTCGTGTGAAATTGAAATGGAGCCTTCTAACTGTATATATTGCTTATCAATTCTATTCAATTTGAATATACAGTACATCATTTCTTTTATCTTGTATTTATTTCATGTTATCGCGTTTTCTGATGTTCACTATTTATAAACACATTGCATCCTTGAATGTCACCGCTGCAAAAGGGTTCTCAATGCACGAGAAAAATAAGTGAGAGAAGGGATAGAAACTATCTGAAATTCTCATCGGTTGCAAGTTTTAATAATCGCTGTACTAATTATTTTTTATATTGATTACTTCAATACGTATCCACGTATCTCTATTTGTATTTGTGCCAAAATAGTGATGCGTCGCAATTAATACTCCCGAAAACTCGCCGGGGAACCTCTAGTTCTTATTCTTGTACCCCGCAAAGGACCCCGTGCGGTGCCAGTGGCCACAGGTATTAGTTCCATTCAGTCGATCGTTTGACTTGGAAGTGTTTGCGTGGAAGTGTTCTTGTGGTTCGCGCTTCTCTCTTAACTTTATCAAAGTGCGTGCTTTTGTAAGATATTTGATCGCACGAATTAAATCGAAGTGTCAGAATTTTGTTTCGGAAGTTTTTCGGTGGGGAAGAATAAATAACGACTGTAAGTATTGCGGAGTGCCATTTTTTTTAAATTGTATGCCATGTTTTATCGCGTTCTACTGTTCGTACATCCTTCATTAACTTCGTCTCGATATTTTTTTTTTTAGAAAATATACAAATCTCTTTGATTTATTCTCATTTATTTAAGGTCGTGGTTAAGTCAAACAAGTATTTGTTTTTTAGCGAAACACAATATTACGAGATCAAGACTGAAAGTTAATGAACGTATAGTGAATAATACAGTGTAAGCGGAAGACAACTGAAGAAAATTCGATATTATGGTTCACAAGATGAGAATGAGAAATAGGAAATATGTAAGATATTTAGTAGATTCGTCGGATGAATCGAATGAATCAAGCGAATCAGATTCAAGTTCCGATGATTGCGAAACAAAAATAATTCAAACACGAAGTAGAGTTAGAAATAATGATGAACACAATAACAGCTTTTCAAATATGAAAGTTAATGGAGATGTCCTTAAAGACGATGAAAACATCGAAAGAAACGAGGACACACACAAAGAAACTCCAAATCTAAAAGAACTTACTATTTTGTTAGAAGACTGTTTTACGCAGAAAAATATTTTGAATGATTGTGCAATTATGCACAATATACCACTTATGTTCAGATTGAAACAAATAATAACATCAAATAATAAACAGATAAAAAGGATGAAACGTAAATCTGACGATGCGAACAGTGAAAATATTGTTGTCGATATTCAACAAAGCCGTTCGGACAGTGTTAATGAAAATTCTCATGGCAGTTCGACGGAATCGGGTAAATATTATTTAATTCTTATTCTTTCATATTATTTTTAATTGGTCTTAATTAAATTGATCTTTTAAAATTTCAGCTCATGAAAGGAAGAAGCAAAGATTATTGCAAAGTGATTGTGCAAAAAACCTGAACAACAATTATTTATTACATGAAAATAACAAGATAGATTTACAAGAATTAGAAACATTAAAAATAGAAAATAGAATTACACAAAATAAACTCGTGTTAATGGATACTGTAGAAGAAAATATTTTCAATAAATATTCGTTACAAAAGAAAAGACGTGTTTCTAATGATGACGGTAGCACTACAAAGAAAATAAAGTTAGATAAAAGCGATCAATTTCAACTTTCTGAAATGCAACCTGATAGTGATATGCAAGATGATAGTGCTTGGAGCTTACTTTTAGGAAAAACACCGCCTCAAATAAAAAGTGAACATTTTAATAATACAATGACGCTCATGTACACAGTTGAAAAGCAATTTATAAATTCAGAATTGGAGAATAATACAAATATTTCAAAACAAGAAGAAGAGGAAGAGACAGATGATTATATAAGCTTAGATGCAGGTTCAGAGTAGGTACTTATAATTTTGGAAACATATTTCCCCGAATTATTTAATTTGAGAGTTTTATTCTATTTCTGCAGTTTTAATGACCTGTCCGATGAAGCGATCAATGAATATTGCGAACAAACCAAGACAGAGTGTTATGAAATGTTTAATAATAATGAAAATGACGATGTAGCGAAGAATACATCAGTATCAAAAGAAACTCCAGATCGATCGCAGCTGTTTTATCGAAGAGGCTCATTACCAGTATTAGATTTCAGAGATTATTTTCCAAATTTTTGTTTTACAATGATAAAATATGGGCAATGTATTAATAACTGGTGTAATTTTAACCATGAGGTAAGTAGATAATTTGTTACTCACATTTTTGTATATATTTTACGCAACATGTACGTTTTCTATTTTACAGTTCCCATCAGTATTTGTTAAGTGGTATTCCGAGGACGAGCAAAAATTATATAAAGTAATCGAAAAATTTAAAATTTATAAATCTTTTTTAAAAGACTGCTTTTATTATC